AATGGCATCCAGGGCTCCGTTTACGTCGATGGTCAGCGTGTGTGTGAGAGTGTGCAAAGTAACTGGGAAAATACAGAATCGAAAGGGATCTCTCACTTCTACATTGGAGGGGATGGAGGCAATGCAGAGAACACAGGGGGTGACGAAGGTGTATCTGTGAGTGTGACGAACGTCCTGCTGTACAACCGCCCGTTGAGCTCCGAAGAGATTGCAGGGCTTGCCAAAAATAAAATTAATATTCCAAAGCCAGTGGCTGCGCGTACTCCTTCACCTGCTGTGTCTCGCCCGAAGCGCTCTTCTGAATCCTTGGCGGGAGGAGCAACGGGTGTCGGTACCGCTCGTCACTTTGCGGCAAATGGTGATGGCAGCACTGTTTGCGGAAGCGGACTGCTGCCGCTGCTCCTTCTGTTGGGACTGTGGGGATTTGCGGCTCTGTGAGGAGTGACTGGCTGCCGCGTGGGACACTTGCGCCCTCCCCACCACAGAATTACTTTCCCATGGGAACGAATTTCTTTCATAAATCCTTTTTTTTGTGTGTATTTTAAATTTATTTGCTGTTTGCTACTTTCTTGTTTTTTGTTTTGCGTGTTTTTCACTTTTTTTTTTTTTATCTCTCACTCCCCCATCCCTTTTCTCTTTTTTTGCTTTTTGGGGGCAATCACTATGGACGTTTTTTCTTTTTTTTCTACTCTTCCCTCCTTTTAATTGTTTCTTCTGCACTCTTCCTGTGAGGGGTGCCGTGTGTTCCCGCCCAACTGCTCCACTCGCACACCCACCGACACGCTCATGACGACGGCCCTGTGCGGCTCGCCTGCTGCACGCATGAGGAGGGGCCGCGACGAACGGCGCGCTGAGGGAGCCGTGAAGTGTGGGCGTGCGACGAGGGCCTGTGGGGCGGAGCACACATTTCTTTCCGTCTTGTTTTGTTTTCTTTTTTGCGGCCAGGGCGGGCAGACACCCGCAGCGCCACACACACACAGCCACACCCTGCCGCCGTGTTTTTCTTTTCTTTTTTGTTTTTGTGTTCATTTCACGCGCTGGCAGTCCCGTCAGCATTTCTCTCCCTCCTGATGATTTTTTTCTTTTGCTGCGCTCACTCTCCCGATGGAGTGACGCGACTCCCGTCATTTCTGCGTGCTTCTCTCAGTCCCCATGCACACACGAGTGACTGTGCTCTGCGGGCCGCACTCACGCGCCGATGAGAGGGCTGAGGGGAGCAGCAACACGCAGATGACCCCATGAAATATAAACGATGTGCGGACACATGGAGGGTCAGACGGTTGAAAGACACTTAAATATCTTTTAAAATTTTCTTTTGCCCGCAAAATATATACAGACAGTTTGGTGTGGCCACACGGCAGCCAGGCGACTTCTTTCCTTATTTTTAAATTTGTGTGGAACAGTAATGGACGATTTCTTTTTTATTTATAATTATTTTGTGTGATGGGGTTTACATAAGACGAAGGGGACGTCTTTTTTTTTTGTTTGTTTGTTTTGGATAAATATTGTGTGGATTGCCACTGCTTGGAATGCAGTGCAGTCATGAGTTTGAGCGGTCTTCTTCTTGTTGTTTCCGCCATGCGTCTCTGCTGTACATTTTGTGCGTCTCTCCACACACTCTGCTTTCTTTTTTTTGCTTCTTCGCTTTGTGTTTCTGCAGGCACACACAACCACACACACACACAAGCTGCACATTGCAGTGGATTTGAGTGCTTCTTTTGCAGTGCATGCTGGCAGTTGCGTGTGGCGGCTGTTGTCTTCTTCCGTGGCCATGAGGAGAAGTGAGGAGGAGGGAGCGCGTAGCCCGAGTCTCCTTTCCTGCGGGTGTGGTGCACCGCGTGTGGCTGCGTTGAGTTGGGCTCCGTGTCCCACTGAGGGCGGGATGGCTGGAAATTTTGTTGCCGCGTCATGGATGGATGAGGGTCCACTGGCGCGTGTGGCTGGTGTGGTGGGTGCTTGCTCCGTGTGCGTTGTGTGGTGGCCGCGGGGTTTTGGCCATTTCCCTGGGGCTGTAGCGATGAGCTGGGAGGAGATGGTGGTGGATGTGTTGTCCTCCTGCATGGTGGGTGGCTGCTGGCGTTTTGTGCCTTCCTTGCGTGGATGCCGTCTCGTGGTGTGTGAAGTGTGCGGCTGGGCCTGCTGCCCTCTCCTCATGTTGTCTGCTCTCTTTCTCGCTGCATCCGCTGCACTCCGTTCCTCTCCCTCCTGTTGCATTCTTTTCCTTCTGGCTCACAGATCAGCTGATTGACTCCAGCGACTCCACTACGGGTGACGATGGCTGCGATGGTGACGATGGTGACGGTGCGGCTCCGTGTGGTGCGCGCCGTGTTGGTCCTTGCGCTCTTGCTGCTGCTCGGAGTCCTGGAGATGTATCTGGTGCTGCGGATGCGGTGGTTGTGCCGGTGGATGTGTCGTGTGCTCCGAGTGACGGCAGCCTGAGCTATCGTGTGTGTGCGTGTGTGGAAGAAGTGTTCTGCAGCCAGTGCTGAGGCTCAGCATGAGAATTATACTTTCAGTGGCTTTGGTGTGCGCATGCATGGCAGAGATGGTGAGCTGGGTGCTGTGTGCCATGTGGCCAATGCGGTGCACACATGTAGCAACTGTGCTGCCAGCTGTGCAGCGAAGGAGGAAGGGGCCACCGTTGCCTTCACGATGAATGTGACGACACATAAATACGCCGGCCCTTATGAATTGTGGCGGCGTCAATTTCCTCCCGATGGAACCATCCATCCGCCTGCACGGAGCGGCGATGCTGACCGGACGGGCATCTGTCAGTTGCCGCCACCCCGTGAAGGGAAGGATGACACAAAATCTGGTGGGACAACTGCGCCGCAAGTTAATGCTGAGCCGTCACGCCAAAACGAGGATTGGCGACAGTCTGCCGCGGCTGACGGACCCAACACCGTCGATCCGAGTCCCGCATCCAACACGGCGACCAACACGCCTAAGACGAGGCCTGAGTTTGCCGCCAATCCGAAGGAAATGATGGTCCCGAATGCATCCAACAAGAGGCCTTCCTTTGCCAACGGTCCGAGAATATTAGTGGCGTCGAATGGATTCGGGATCATGTCTGTCACTTATGGCGGCAGGGAACGCGTTGCTGCGGATAACACAGACGAGGTGAATGAGCGCAGCGCCACTGGACACAAATCTCTCGTTTTAGAAAATGGCGTTGCAGGCGGTGGATTTGTTGCTGAGGGTGATGCGTACGGATTGAGTCAACGCAATGCCTCTGGACACGAGAAAAAACCCCTATTACAAAAACTCACCGCGCAGTATTCTGTAAACGGCGTGAGTCCCAACGACTGCTTTGCCGTGCTCAACGACGCGAAATTGACACTGCGAGAGTTAATTGTTGACAGCACTGTGCGTGTGCGCGTGTATTGGGTGTTGCTGCTGCTTCTGGGATTGTGTGGAGTTGTGGCGGTATTGTGAGCCGAAGAGTGTGGAATTGCGACTCTTCACGGAGAACATGTGCCGCGTTCCCTGCGTGTTTTCTTTTATTATTTACATTTTACTTTGTTGGTTTTGTTGTTTTCCTGGAATGATAAGTATCGTTGCTGTTCCTTTATTTAATGGTCGGTTGCTGCACACTGTCATGAGTGACAAGTGTTTCCCCTTTTGTTTTGTATTTTGTTGCCCACACGCGGTGCCGGCCCTGCGGCTGTGCGTCCCACAGACTGCACGAAACGAGGATTGGAGGAACAGGCCGGATGCCGCACGAAGCGTGAAGAGTGTTGTGTGGGCTGGTGGAAGAGTACAACCTTTTTTTATTTTATTCCTTTTCTTGGTGAAGGCATTATGTATACACAAAAACACACGGTCATTTTATTGTGCTTCTTGGCACATTAAATAGAATTTCTGCCCGATTGATTTTTTTTTTAAGTTTTGGGAGTTTTGTTGGAATCCCATCTTTTTTTTTTTTTTTCCTTTTTGTGTTTTTCCTGCTTTTTAAGTTTTGGTTTGCGGGTCGGTGTGTGAGTTCTGCGGTTATGATGATTCCATCTGTCTTTTTTGGTGTGCGCTTCTTCTGGCTGCTGCCATTTATTACCATGCGGTGGCTGTGCGTGGTGTAGCTGCTGTCTCTCTCTAATTCCTTTCTCATGTTCCTGCAGATCGAATCCACGTTATTCAACAACGAAAGTTTCGATGATGACGTGCCGTGTATTCTGTGTCGTGTTGGTGCTGGCACTGCTGTGCTGCTGCTCGTGCGTGTTTGCCGTGGAGGAAGGGGAGGAGCAAGAGCCGCAGGTGACGCAGGTGAATGCAGAGTGTGCGGGTAAGGATAAACTTGCGCGTTGGCAGCTCCCTGGGAAGTCATTGTGGTACAACTGCACGGTTGAAGATAGTGGTGTGGGGACGGAGATTTGCGGCATGGGCGACGGAAACTGTGCGTCCGAGGATGTTGAGAGGCGCACCAACGGAGGTGTGAAGGATGGTGTCATCACGATCGATGTCGATACGCCCACTCCAAACGTCCTGGAGAGTTGGTGGGAGAGTAACGTGGAGCCGAAAGCGGCCACCGTCGTAAGTGTTCCGGCCAAACCTCCGGAAGGACCTCCGGGGCCTCGAGAACAGGAGGCTTCTCGTGACTCCTCCACAACAGATTCTGATTCTTCTCCTGCTGTCGTTGGGGGTGCGGCTGGTGCCCCTCCTCCTCCTCTACCTGAAACTCCAGGCGGCGCTGTTGCTAACTCTGCTGCTGGCGCTGCAGCCACGACGGATCCTTCTGCCGCGGCCTTGCGAGCGTTGGATACCGCTCTCTCTGGTGAACTTCAAGGCGCTGCACCCGAATCCCCACCAGATCCAAAGCCCACAGAAGGCGGCGGCCACTCCTCCCATGACCCTCCAGTGGAGCTGCAGGAAGAGACTGCTGCTGCGCCACCGACTCAGTTGTCCCAGACCGGCGAGGACGGGGGTGCAGCGGGAGGCGCCGAAGAGGACACCGCCAACACCACCGACACTGCTTCTAGCGAAGGAAATTCTGCGGCGGCAAGCATGCCGGCTCCCCTTTCCTCTGCACCCCCAACGAACGCGCTGGAGAACAGTGTGGGAACTGACGCCTGCTTCCATGACACCCGTCTGCATACCCTGCCACCGCTCGTTCTGGCTGCACTGACGTACGGGACACTGGGCTGAAGAAGTGTATGCGGGCTATTAAAGCTTGTACTCAACCACGGGATGTTTTACGCTTCTTTTGTTTTATTGCGTAATAACTAATAGAAAATAATGATTGTGTGTTTTGCTTCATTTGCTTTCGCTGCCCTGCAGTGTGCTCCGCGTTGCTCCCCACATCCGTCACTTGGCACGCGTCCCAGACACACTCATATGCACGACACGCCCACAACTGTTTGCGTGGACGCATGTCTGTGTGCGCTGGTGCATGCACACTGGAGCCATGTGGTGCATCTGTTTCTCTCTTGTGGTTTTTCCTTTTTAAAAAATTTATTGCTGTTTTTTTACTCGTGTTTTTTTAAATTGCTTTGTGTTTATTTTTCTTGCTGATTCATTGCTGCGGGGCTGTGTGTTTGTGTGCGTGTTCTGCAATCGCACCGATTCCAACTGCCTCATGTTGTGCTGCGGCTGCTGCCGTTTGTTACTTTGGCTGTGAGTGGCTGTGTGACTTGTCTCTCGTGTTGTTTTCACTCTCCGTTGACGGGGAATTAGTTTGTGCTGAAGGCTACACGCAAGTGACAGGAGTGATGATGACTGGCCGTGTGCTGCTGGTGTGTGCCCTCTGCGTGCTGTGGTGCGGTGCTGCGGTAGGTGTAAGGAGGAGGCGGGATCTCCTGCCGGTGGTAAAGGTGCGGTGGAGACTACTGGAGCTTCAGCGTCAGGACAAGACAGCTCAGATCTAAAAAAAGGTTTGCCCAAGGCTAATCAATCAACAGAAACACCTGCAGGAAAATCTTTGGAAGGAAAAGAAGTTAACACTGATCAACTGGTTGTTGTTCCTGGAGTGGAGGATGAAGAAGATGGGAACCCTTCAGAGCAATTAGAAGAACCTGTGGAAGATGGTCCAGATCAAGAAAAAACAAAGCCGCAATTACAAAATAAAGAACAGGAAGTAAGGCAACCGCCAGAATCGCAAGTAAATGTACCACCGCAACCGCAGCCACTACCGCAACAGTCACAAACGCAATTGCAGCTGCAGCCACACATTTCTGCTTCAGAAGAGGGAAAAGGTGTTGTCGAGAACAATAAGGGTGGAGCAGGTCAGTCCTCATTGGGAGTAGAAAATATTGGAAACGAGGATCCAGAGAACCTCGGGAAAGAAGACTCATTAAGGGGTCCAGGTAAAGAATCAGAAAACAGTGAACAGGTTCAAACGACAGTGCCAAACACAGTAACGCCGGAGCACAAAACCCAAAATGAAATGCTAACTCCGGAACAAAAGACGAATAAAAGCCAAAGCACGGATACATTCACAAACCTACCCGAACTACAAAAGGAAAATAAGGAATATCCTGCCTCTACGGAAGTTACGGCGCAGAGTACATCAACTGGCAGTCAAGAACAAGAAGCTGAGGCACCTACAAGCGAAGAACCTTCCCCTTTTGAGGAGCAGCACTCCACAGGGACGAAGACAAGTGAAGATGCTCGAACTCCGGATGCCGCCGCGACAGAAAAACGCCAAACCGGCGATAAGGAAAAGGTTGGCGACAGTGACGGCATCACCGCTGTCTCCCACACCACCTCCCCTCTTTTGCTTCTTCTTCCTGTTGCGTGTGCGGCTGCTGCTGCGGTGGTGACCGCGTGAGAGTGAGTGAGAGAGCGCCATGCACCGCCCGCACACACACCCGTCCTTCACCCACTCTCTCTGTGTGTGTCCCCTTGCATGGACTCTCGTCCTCACCTCATCCCACGAAGCACACACATAATGTGCCCATTGTATATATTGCATGCACACCCATGCAGGCCCGTTGGTGCTCTCTTTTGCACGACACGCACCGCTGCCGTCCTGCCTGGCTGCATGGGCGGAGCACCGTAACTGTTTCTGTTTTGTTTTTATTGCATTGAGTGGGCGACCTCTCTCTCTCTCTCTCCCTGTGTGTGTGTTTTGCTTTACGGGAGCAATGAGAGTGTGTGCGCTGGTCGTCCCACGCTTCGGTTCTTC